TAATAAAAGTATAATTTAACTTAACCTAACTTGCAGTATGTCATTGATACTATTAAAATTATTTATTTATTTTAGCAAATTGTGTGCGTAATTGAACAGTTTGATTTAGTATGGTATGTATAATATATTGAATCAAAAACAGTAGGTAAACAATATTTTAAACAGAAAGTCGGGTGTTAGTTACATACTTACATAGTTGAAATAGTAGTACCTACAATGATAAGCTATATTTTGTACAAACAAACAAATGAATTGATAGTGATTGTAAAACCGTAATGAATACATAAAACCGTGTTTAAAATAATTAGTTAAAAATGCAATAGTTAAGTTACAATGATGAACGTACATAACATTATATTTGTTCTATATAAACAATTGAATAGTTAAATCACAATAATACACATTATAATATATTTGCTTACATACAGACATGTAATTATTAAATTAAAAAATGCAATAGTTGAATTACAATATATACCTACGTGACATTATATTTTTTGTTAAATTAACAATTTAATAGTTAAATTACAAATTATTTGTTATATAAGCAATTCAACAGTTAAATTACAATTATGTACTTAACATTATATTTTTTCTATATAAACAATTTAATAGTTAAATTACATTTATACACATTATAATATATTTTTTTATATACAGACATGTAATCAGTAAGAAATGCAATAGTTAAAATTATGTACATGCCATTATACTTTTTAGTTTTTTTTAAATAAACAATTAATAAGGTAAAAATACAACGATGAAGGTACATGACATAATATAATGGTATAAAAAATTAGTAGTAAAAATATTCATACAGTAAAGTAATATTATTAAAATTTAAAAAAACCAGTAACTATAATTTGTAAAATAACGTAAGAAAATCGAAAAAAATCATGTTTACCCACGTAAATACATATTATATTATAATACATAAAAAATGAAATCTGGTAGATTAATGTAAAAAAAATTGAACGTAGTAGACATATTGTAATTTTTATACACAAAGTAAAGTTAAAATAATAATAATAGTAAAGAGAAAAGATCGGAAATTTGTATAATTACAGAAAAAAAATGCAAAAAAAGTCGGGATTCGGGCGGCCGTGCAAACCATATGGCAATGACCGCAACGACGCCCCGAGAGCGTACGACGGATTGGAACCCGGGACCTACATGTTATCTACCTAACGCCTAACCTACTCGGACACAATTTGAGATATGGTTTACGGTCAAAACATCAACACTTAAGCCGTGCGTTTAAGGAGCGACGTAGCCGATATATTCGATGTTCATCGATGTAATCGCATATAATTCGCTTGTAATACGCGCATCTCCCATATATATATTTAACGGAGCTTGTGAAAAGCGTTTTCCGTTAATAATTATTAAATCAATAGGCAAAAATTAAATTATACACGTATATACATGTATTATACGCGTACGGTCGGTCGTAATTTCTAAACGCGATTGCGAAGCGAACCGACCGATTTCGTAAGAAAAGCGTATATATACGGCTTTAGAAAGACGTCAACTACACGATTCGGGCACGAACGACGTGCGAAAAGACGAAACTGTCGGAGAAAACGAAAAAAATCGGCAAAAAAGTCCGGCCGGGAGCGTATTTTGCGATCGACAATGCGACGGCTACGGACGGCGAACGGATATAAACCGCACACCGGCGGCTTCGAGAAATCGCGAGCTACGCGAATCAAATATAAATATGAGTGAAAAAGGCTAGAAAACGGTCGAAATCGTGTAAAAAGTGTAAATTTCGAAAATTTCAAAAATGATAAGAAAAGAAGTGATATTATTATTAATATTGATATTGTTATTGCCCGCCGCAGAATCTGAACGTTGCGATTGGCCGGGCCGGAAAAACGACACGAAAGTCGTCTATCCCCATGGACAAAACTGGGGACTAACCTAGTTTTATAATATAAGAGACTAGCTCTCCGAGCGTCGCTGGAGGATACCCCCAGACCCCCAGGTGTCGGTCATGAGTGTTTTCTATTTCGGAAGCTGCAGTTGTCTGTTGGTCTGGTCGTCAGTCTCGAGCTGGTCGGTGTGTGATAAGGAACTCTGATAAGGTTAGGTCCACCGTGGTTCGACGTTTTAGCCCCCCGGTAAGCAACAACGTTCGACGACAACGTTCTTTACTGCCGCCGGAAATTCAAAATTCCGTAAAAAAATTATAAATCGTCGTTGTATTTTTGTGGGTGTCTAGCAGGTCAGTCACCTCGAATGACGTTCGCCATAGTCAAGTTTTCGCGGGTCAATCACCTTCCTCGACTTTGGTCGTAGTCACCCTGGAAGGCAATCCGACAATACTCGACGGCTGGTCTAGATCATTACTGTTACCGAAAAAGCAAAAAAAGTAATAAATTACTTGAAAAGTATTTAAAAAATTTCGGACGTCCATGCAAATCATATAGCCGCCGTATTTTTTAGGGTGTCTAGCAGGTCAGTCACCTCGAATGACGTTCGCCATAGTCAAGTTTTCGCGGGTCAATCACCTTCCTCGACTTTGGTCGTAGTCACCCTGGAAGGCAATCCGACAATACTCGACGGCTGGTCTAGATCATTACTGTTACCGAAAAAGCAAAAAAAGTAATAAATTACTTGAAAAGTATTTAAAAAATTTCGGACGTCCATGCAAATCATATAGCCGCCGTATTTTTTAGGGTGTCTAGCAGGTCAGTCACCTCGAATGACATTCGCTATAATAATAGGAGTAGGCTATCCGACTTGGACGGATAGCGGACAATGTGCGACGGCCGGGTGACGTCATCAGGTATGCAATTCGACTGCGTCTAATCGCGGACGACGTTCATTACTGTTACCGAAAACGCAAAATTAAAGGATAAATTACGTGAAGAAAATTCAAAATATTTCGCTTGTCCATTCAAATCATATAGCCACCGTCTGATTTTTTGGTGTCTAGCAGGTCAGTCATCTATGTTATCCGGGTAGGCAATGTGCGGCCGGGACAGCGTCCATTGCAGTCATCGACAACGCAAAATTAAGTAATGAAATACGTGAAAAAAAATTCAAAACATTTCGTAAGCAATCCGACAACCCCGAGTCACCTTCCTTGACGTAATTACGCCAAAATATGTTTTGTGGTCTAGCAGGATCTAGGGTCTAGCGTCGGATAGCGGACAACGTGTGACTTCTGACGCAAAATTAAGTAATAGGTCACATGAAAAAAAATTGGTAAATGTTTTGGTGTCTAGCAGGTCAGTCACCTTCCACGACGTTGGACGTAGCAACCCTGGTAGGCAATCTGACTTCGTCGGATAGTGCGACGTCCGGGTCAAGGCATGAAAACGCCAAATGACGTAAATCAAATGTATATAAATAATAACATTTCGGGCGCCCGTGCTAGTCCTAATATAGTCGCCGTGATTTGTTGAGTGTCTAGCACAGTAGTTCTCAACCGGGGTGACATGGGCCTAGCTTAGGGGTGATGCAGAATTTTAACAAGAAAAGAAAAAAAAATTATAAAAATAAATTTTTTCGAAAACAATCATATTATTTCTTATAATAAATATATTATACACCTATACCACCACTGTCATGTACATAACATACCTCAAAGTTCGTATCTTTATAATATTTTGTATTATTTATATTTAATCTTTTGGTCCGATAAACACGTGTAGGTACCTAGTTAGGGTGACGCAGTGTTTGATTCTAGTGGCTAAAGGTGACATGAATCAAAAAAGGTTGAGAACTACTGGTCTAGCAAGTCGGGCGGCCACGTTTAATTTTAATAGTTTTTGTCGTTTATAGTAGGTAGTAGAGCGATTTAGAAGCGAAACCCTCTGTGCAAAAACCAATCACATAGACTTCGCATAGTTATTACCTTGTAACATGAGAAGTTATAAACTAGATCCTCACGCTATCTCAGAGATATCTCTCGGATGCCAAACGCCAGGTTGAGTGATGTTATAAATGGGATGTTAAAATGGGATATCTATAGGACTTCGCAAATATCTTCTCATTCAACTTCTTTTGGATGTATATTTACATCTTTTAATAATTAATAAACAAAACTTAAACTTCTATGTATCATCGCAAATATATAATAATAAACTCTCTTATGTGCTTAATTAACCGGCTATATTTACTTCACATGGACTTCTCTGAGAAAGTACAGACTTTTATTATTATTTTTAAAATATTAACACTGCAACTAGTTTGAAATTTATGTTGATTAGTAGTTAGCATAAGTGCAACTAGGGGGTCCATGGGGCTTAGCCCCCCAAACTTATTACTTCTAGTCCCACCTAAAAGAATATTTTACCTTTTGTATAATGCTAAGGTGGGGCCATAGACAAGAATTTACTCTCCTAAGATTTAATGGTAGTGTTGCTATTGGTAGCAAAAAAACAGCTTTTAGATCAATCCTAATAATTCTATAATAGTTTTATAGAAATTTTATTATACATATATATTAAGTTGTTTATATTGCTGGTAATAGTATTTATAATAATTAGGGAAATTACCTATAATAATTTTTAAATGTTTACATATTGTGGAAAGGAAGCCATAGTACAATAAAGTGGTGTAAAATGTAAAAAAAATTTCAAATTTTCTTTTTTAGTTGTTGAGGAACCACAATGTTTGAACAATAATATCCTTATATTTATTTTATCCCTTGTGTTAGTAATTGTTATTTTATCATTATGTAGGAAATAAGAAATGTAATTAAAAATTGTTAAAACATTAAACTTTTATTTGTTATTACAAAAAAAAATATTTATACTTAATAACATAATATACATACATATAATTAAAAAAAATTAAATATTAATGACAATGAGGCAATTTCCTTTGCATAAAAACACAAAAATGTATTTGTATTCAATTTATAATAAAAGTACATATTAATATAATAATATTAATAATAATAATAATAATAATAATAATAATAAAAATAATAATAATGATAATTATAATAATATAATAATAATAATTATGTAATAATAATGAGGTTACTATGTGTGTAATACTAATAAGGCAACTGCCTTTGTATCAGATATAGGTATAAAAATGCATTTATGTTTTAAGTTTATTAAATTTATATAAAAAGAATTTGATACAGATGTAAGGTCGACATAAAATGAGCCTACAACAGTAGATAAAATTGGTGTTTCAAACATTATAGTTAAATTATTGTATTTTATAACTTCTAGAAAAATGGAGCCATCTTGGCGTTTACCAATTTTTTGAATTTGTACAATTTCGTTGTTATCTAAAATAAAATATTTATTACGAATATTATTTGTACTGACAACAAATTTATCAAGAATAACTTGCTCATATAAAGTTACTGTAGGATCTCTGTAGTATAGTCTATGGTCATAGTCTATTTCGTTATTCAGTATAGGATAATTTGGGGCAATTTTAATTTGAACGTTTTGAAATTCAACTACTCTATTGTATACATCTTGTAGTGGATACCTGGCATTTTTAACAGTTTTTTTCATAATTTGTAAATAGTTTTCATATTTAAATGCACTAAACTTTTCGAGAGGACCATGTTGAAGTGCGAAGTCAGCCAAATGAATTAATCCATGTACATTATATGTAACATATTCATAACCGTATAAGGTAGGATATTGAGAGACAAATGAAATAAGTAAATTTTTGGCTATAGTATTATGTGTGATATACAAATCATTACTTATTAAAATTTTTATGGCACAATGAAATAACATAAAATGTTGAAAAAATGGTTTTGCTAATCTTCCTTTTAATACAATTAAAGATGTATACAAAAGAAAGGTCCTGAATTCTGTAGCTTTAAAAAATTCTAATTCATCCAAACTTCGCGGTAATCTATTAAACTCTGAAGGAAAGTATGGTTTCATGTCAATCAGTTGTGAAGAAATATCAGACACTATTTCAGGACTTTTAAACCTAATAGGTTTTTTTCCTTTTACCCAAAAAGTAAGTAAACGTTTCATGACCCCAAGACAGACACAATGCATATAGTCTAGAACAACAGTTGATACTATATTAATTGGAAAACCTTCTAAAGGACTAGATCCTTTATGGTAATCCTCATCTTCTTTTGACCTAAATGAATCATCAGTTCTTAAAGGAGAGGATACTCCTAAAAATGACATCCGACCATTAATAAACGTGCCTTCTTCAATACAATAATTACAACTATGATAGGCATTAAAAGATTTAACATTTAACATGAATGCCTTTGCTGGAGCATCACAAATTATTTGGCTTATAAAAAAATTGTAAATTTTACCATTTAAACATAGGCCATTAGAAATAATACTTTTCATTTCAGTCATAAAAGAGTCTAAATATTCAAAAATTGATTATGGTTTTTTAAATCTAGCATAATATATTCCAACCGGCATAACATATTTTGATAATATTGGAATATTTACTATTGAAATTAAAATTGGCCATAAATTTGATTTAGAGCTTCTAGAAATTGGCATTCCATCAATATTTACTCCCAATTGTATGTCTGTAGTATTTTTAAGTTGTTCGACATGTGCAAGTAAAAGAGGTGTAATCATAAACTCTATACCAATATGAATATATGTACCTGGATGAACATTTATTATTGAGTGATTTTTTGGGGTTTGAAATAGAGTTCTTACATCTTTTGGCAAATCAAGTCCTTCAGATCTAAGAATTTCCAAAAGTTTATTTACACAGTTATGTGAAATATGATAGTCACAAATTAATTGCCGCAATTTATCCTTAAGAGTAATATTTTCAGAACTAATAGGTTCAATTGGAGAATTGGTTAAGCATACTGCAGTTAATTCATTGGATTGATTCAAATTGTCTTGTAAACTGGGATACATTGTAGTTTGAGTAGTTTGAGCAGTTAATGGGTTACACACATTTGTAGAACACTGATCTTGTGACACATCAAAATACTCACAGTTAGTAGTTTGGTTCAGAAGATTTGATTTATTATTAAAATTTAAGTTAGGTGTTTTCTTATCAGCTTCAAGACATCGCTTGAAATTTCTTTTGGACATAGCATGAAAAGGTTTTCTTTTTTTCAACTATAACAGAAAATGTAATCTATAAATTTAAATATTATTCAAACAAAATATAAATTCTACAATCACTCAAAAAAGTTATAGCAGGTCTATATTATATTATATTTTAAGTAGGTAGGTACCTATTTATAATTATTTACTGAATATTATCTTAAAAATATTTTAGTTGTATAAAAACTATATACATATACTAAACTATACAAATTAATATTAATTAAATAAATATAAGATTATACTGTTGTTTACTTTTAACGATAAGACTTATTGGAAAAATTATAATTTATTTTGTTGATCTCTAATAAATCGCTGTGCGCCATGTCTAAACCAGTCTTTAATATGCAATTCAAAATCAATATCTGATGAGTTAAATTTTTCCCTTGATAAGTCTAGAACATAAATAAACAAACAAAAATAGAAACTTGACACAAGTTATTAAAAGCAATATTTAGAATATGTACCTTTCATGATACTCATAAACAAAATATTTTCAAGTCTGAAGTTATTACGAAACCCTGTCCATGAACATTTAGAAGACAGTTCGTTACTAATTATTCTTTGCAACACACGTTTAATAAAATTCTTGACATCAGTACCTCCTATTCTAGTCATAAAAGTTGTCTGAAAAAATTGTAATTTCCATGTCTTTAAAAGGACTTTACTTCAAATAATGTATGCGTTAGTAAATAATAAAGTAGGTAACCAAAACAATTTTTTTCTTTTAACATATTGACCATCATATATGAGATGCAAATTAATAAAACAAAATTAAAAATATTTAATATTCTTACCACATTGAGTTTAAAATCTGGATCATTTGTTATGCGAATGTCAAACTCTTTCAAAGAGTCAATGTCTTTCAAAGGGAATATAGATAAAAATGCATTATCTATAGCATAATTATTATTATTCTGGGTACCAGACATATTTTTTATTGTTTGTTCTAGACGATCCATTCTTCCATCCAGTCGTTTTAAATATGAATTAGTCTCAATACCTTGTTCGTAAATAAGTTTTAATATGTTTGTCTGATCAGTATCTGTAATAAAAATATAATTTATTTTTAAATACTTATACTACCTACTAAATGTAATGATAAAAGTAAAATTAGTACATGTATTTTTTAAATTTAAATATGACAGTTAAAACAGGGCATAAATACATTTTAAAAAAAAATACCTTTAAATTAAAACATAACCACAACTTACCAATATTAACAGAAAATTTTTTAGCATCATTTCTAAGTATAGCTGAGGCAGATAATATTGGACGAGGTGTTGAAAATTGTGAAATTGGAACTGTGTTTGTGTTTTCAGAATAGTTAAGACATCCAGACTGATAATCATTTACATTTTGTTCGTTCATATTTAGTAATGTGTTCATTGCTGCTAAACAATGTTTTAAAACAAGTTTATTTGTAGTTGCACAATAGATAAATGTATTTACTTAATTATAGTGATATAAATAATTTTTTAAGATAATACTTACATAACATATAAGCGCCACTGCTAGGAATTTGTTCTAAGGGTGCAGGAGAAATGTTTGAACTCTGATCAATGTCATACAAAATATTTTGGTTGATATTTGATGAGGTAGAAGCTAAAGTTTTGGTTTCACATGGTTTTGAATATTCATCATTATTTTTGGCTAAAAATAAAAATTAAACTGATTTAAGTTATTAAGTAATAACAATATCACACACGACCCTTCTATATGATTGTATATTGAATAATACCCAATATTTCTCTATAAGCTATAATGTTCTGTATTAGCACAGAACAATATAATACAATACAGGGGTAATTTTAAATATAAAAATACAATTAAAAATTGTTTGGAATTTTGGATATTTAATTTTATAACAATTTATCATTAATCTATACAAATGGGTAATTAAAAATAGATAGATATATATATTTACTAGCAGAAGACATGGATCCCAATGATATATTTGAATTTGATTCAATGCTGAAATTATAAGACACTTCTGGGATATCAATAATTGAGCTAGTTGCTACACTTTTTTTTTTGTCTTGTTTTTTCATAACTTTTATTGGTACATCATCATTACTGCTATCTACAAATATGTCGATTGAATAAGAAATAAATTACAAGAAATATTATTAATGTTATTGTTCAACTTTTAATTTTTAATACCAAACTAATTGTTGTTGAATTATTATATTTATTACAGTAATCCAACTTAGAATAGTAAATAGTTCTTATATAATTGTATCAAAAATAAGGAGTTATTAATTAATAATTTAAAAACTTGATTTTTATTTATTCTACGCTGAGCTATGAATACCTATATTTATTTTCAAATATATATTTAATATAGCTTTAGTATTTATACTACTAATAAATTAATATACCTAGAATATAGATTAGATTCAACACATTTTTATTTATTTGTTTTTTTTTAAATTTATTATTTTTTTTTTTTTGGCAATAAAGCATTGTTACATATAGGTAAATTGTTTATATGTGTTTGCTTATCTCTATAAGGTCATGCTTGTAGTGTACCTAGGTGATGAGTACTTAAGAAGTAATAGGTATATACAATTAAAAACTTATGTAAATAATGTGTAAATTCGTTCATTATATTAAATTGTCAATTAGCTACACCTATTAATAATTGGGTGCAGTAGCCTATATTTATTAATTAACGAATATGTAAATAACAAAATATAAATTTAATAATATTTCATATTTTCTTTTAAGTTATAACTTATAACTAATAAATAATATTTTAATTAAATACATTAATAACTAATTATATAAAGATACTTACCACTATCAACAATATTGTCACTATTACTAAAAAGTTGTTTTCTTGATGAAAAGTTAGGTTTGTAACTTTTACAACCACGGTCCGATTCCGAAGCCGACAGGAATATTTCCCTTTCTTTTTTCACAGCATTATCATAATTATCTATGGAAAATCAAAATGTATTATTATATTAATTATGTTTGTTCACATATAATATGTAACATAATATTATAATAGGTATATTTTTATATTTTTTAACTACCTAAGCTATAGATAATATGTAGTAGCAACAATTATAGTTATCTACACATATTTTTTTTAAACAAACACATTATGTGTTTATGCTAAGATTTTGGAAATAAAAATATTGAATATAATAATAAAAATTATAAATATTATATGCTAAGTATTATAGAAACTAACATCACATACGTACTGAAAAACATTTTTAAATACATTAAAAGAGCCATTATTTTCTTCACTAAAAATTTTCTATTTTGTTAAAAAAAAAAAACTTGTGTTACTTCACAGTATGTTCAAAAATATAAGATAAAAACAGTAATTTGTAATTTGTATATTGAGGTAAACAAATACATAATTTATATAATTTTATATTAAGTACATTTCATGAATGTTTCATAATTCATGAATGAACATTTTCACATTTTTACCAATTGGAGGCATCATATTATTATACTTACCTATACATTTTAATAGAAACAAAGTAAAATCTTTTAATCCTGATAATTGTACATACCAATTTCTAAATAAATAAAATATTACCTTAATTTAAAATAAATTAGTTCTCTGGTGCATTTTATCATGGGAGAATATTAACAAATACCAATCACTTCACTATACATAGAAACTAAGGGCTAAGATATTATTTACATTATATTTAAGCTTAATTTTTATACATACCAAAACATAATCCTTCCACTAAATTCACTGGATACAACGACCAGTTACTGAATGGCTCTATAGCGTTAGATAACATAGCGGTTGTGACTTTTTGCTTTCTAGGCCATTGACAGTACACTATATTATTGTCTTGACGACTAATCCAATTATTAGGAATTACTGAATATTTATTTTCTTCTTCAAAATAACCCACAAACCACTGGAAATAATAATTACACACGAGACCAAATAATGGTATAGAAATTACAATGAATAAGTACCAACATTATTATAAATAATTCTAACTTGTATATATTATAATGTGTAATTGTAATATAATAAAAGATTAGTAAAGTGGTTAACACTCTGACCCTGCTATATAGTAGGTATCAAGTGGACCTCTGGAATGTATACGAAAAACGATTCTGAACGATCAACGAAGATGATTTGTCAGACTAGGATATATATTTTCCACAGGGTGGTGAAAAAAGTGGTTTATGTTTTAATGGCCTGAATATCTCAAAATTAAATCATGTACAGAAAATGGCAAGTTAAACAACTGGTGTATATTTCAAGTTTCTACGACTAGGAATTTTTAATTAGGTATAACAAAATTCTTAAATTATTTGATTGTAAATAATCGATACCTACTTTACACGTGAATATATTTGAAGTTTTTTTTTTAAGTTATTTTTATTTTTTGAAATTTGAAGTAATAATTTAAATTAAAATAAATTGTAACTATCTATCTTAATAAATAAGGCATAATTGCAGTTTAGCACCCCCTCGCCATTTTGAATTTTTTTTATCGAAACTTATGTAACTCATCGAGTTAATAACGATTGTGCAATCAGAATTTGTGGCTCTCACTTACTACTTAGTTTCGAAGTTATGGCCTTCCAAAGTTTTCGATTTTACGTTTATACGCATGCGCGCAACACTACTATAATGCCGCTCATTGGGTAGGTGTTGCATAGCAAATCGAGGGATATTTTCGTTTTTAATTGTCCGAGCGAGGGCAGCGAGCGAGTGACCCCGCTCGGTGACTTGGTGCAACAAAAATGCAATTCTTTTAACCCTGTGGCCCACTTGGGGAGGTGTTGCATAGCAAATCGGGGGATATTTTCGTTTTTAATTGTCCGAGTTATAATTTTATAAATATAAAATTATAAATCGTCGTTGTATTTTTGTGGGTGTCTAGCAGGTCAGTCACCTCGAATGACGTTCGCCATAGTCAAGTTTTCGCGGGTCAATCACCTTCCTCGACTTTGGTCGTAGTCACCCTGGAAGGCAATCCGACAATACTCGACGGCTGGTCTAGATCATTACTGTTACCGAAAAAGCAAAAAAAGTAATAAATTACTTGAAAAGTATTTAAAAAATTTCGGACGTCCATGCAAATCATATAGCCGCCGTATTTTTTAGGGTGTCTAGCAGGTCAGTCACCTCGAATGACATTCGCTATAATAATAGGAGTAGGCTATCCGACTTGGACGGATAGCGGACAATGTGCGACGGCCGGGTGACGTCATCAGGTATGCAATCCGACTGCATCGAATCGCGGACGACGTTCATTACTGTTACCGAAAACGCAAAATTAAATAAAGAATAAATTAAGTGAAGAAAATTCAAAATATTTCGGTTGTCCATGCAAATCATATAGCCACCGTCTGAATTTATTGGTGTCTAGAAGGTCAGTCATCTATGTTATCCGTGTAGGCAACGTGCGGCCGGGACAGCGTCCATTACAGTCACCGACAACGCAAAATTAAGTTATGAATTATGTGAAAAAAATTCAAAACATTTCGTAAGAAATCTGACTACTGAGTCACCTTCCTCGACGTCATTACTCCAAAATTTAGGTCTACGATTTTATAACTATTTATAATTACTAACAATTGGTTATACCTACTTACACCACAGATGAAATATCTATTGGATTTTAACCAAAAAAAAACCGTAAAAACCTCTACATCAAAATATAGATATTTAGATAATATAGATATTGGATTTATGATAAGGATAGTGGTTTTGTGATAAAAATAGTGATAAGGATAGTGGATTAGTGATAAGGATAGAGGATTTGTGTTAAGGATGTTATATTGGTGGATGTTAGATGGTGGATTAGGTTAATAGTGAATAAGTTAACAGGAAAGCTGTCAAAATTTTTTACTTATGTTAATCACGTAAATATCGCAAATTTCAAAACAAGAAAACTACATATATACATTATTATGTGTTATAAAATTATAATAAATTGAATTTAAATTCCTTCAATGCTTAAAATATTGTAATATTTTTATTATGTCGTTGGTATGCAAAAATGTATTATACATGATTTATACATATTATTGTGTTAATAAATACATAAGTATCATTTATATTCTATTTTTTTAAACTTTACTATATATATATATATATATATATATAATTATTTACTATTGTGTTTAATGTTATGTATATTAAAATTTAAACTTTATTGTGTTTAAAATGTATGTAGTAAAAAATGCAGTAATTAATAAGTACATTTGGAAAATTACATTTTTTTTTTTTTTTACTTTAGTACGACTTTACATGTTGCCTTCAGTATTATTCAATAACCCATATGGAAACGCAAAACTCAGAAATGGTTCAAGTGCTTGAGATTCTAATATTCAAAAAATGATTTTTTTCCTTTCTTTTTTCAAAATTTTTTCTTTGCATTATACTACCATATTATTATATGCATATCTATAGATATCCTTTTCAATGTAATTATTATTTAATTTAATAATTTAAAAATTTACCTACCTAAGCAAAAGTAATGTACAATAAATATAGGTACATTAGACTGTTATGAGAATGCACATACTTTCATTATTAGTTAAAATATGTATATCAATAATATTAAAAATATATATATATATATATAAGTAGTTTGAATGCACAAATTTGATAGACATTTGAAAGCTAAGAGTTTTAGTAGGAGCTAGGTGTGTCGATTGTTAAGACAATGTCAATTTCTTAAAACATACATATAACGTTATATTATATAATATATACAGGGTGTCTCAAACAGTACTGACATATGGAATAACTTTTTTGGTATTCGATATTTTTTTTTTTTTTTTTTTTGTTTTATTTGTAGCGCTTTGCGCTACATGTTTTATATAAAAAAAAATTTTTTACTTTTTTAATTCTGAAAATAAAAAATTTTAAATGTTACAAAAAATGTATTTAAAAAATTCAAAATAGCCAATTTATAAAGCCGATTTTTAGAAAAATTTTGATGGTTCAAATATTTATAAAAGTGTTGCCGTTAATTTTCTACAAATTATTTAGTTTTTGGAAATATGAACAATTTTTTCCTTTATATCATAATAAAATAATCAACAATCATCATTCATCAGTCATCACTGGTACCTGACTAGACGTAGTATTGTAGTAATCACTATTTATTTTCCTAAGAGTTTTTATCAGTTATCACCATTTACACCGGCAGCTAATGCACAGAAATAGATAAGAGCATTACTGAGATAATAAAATTACTGGTTAGGTACTTAGGTTATAGTAAAAAAAAACTTTTATGTTACTACGTTTAAAAAGGTTTAATAGAATTAATAACAATAATACAATAATGACATACATGCATCAACAATATTTAGTTCAGTAATCAGTTAATTCAGTTGCTACCTAATATCTATTTTAAATAATTTTCAAAATGCCCACCATCGTTTTCTGTACATTTTTCATATCGCTCTAATATTGACGATGTGACCGACTTTAACATTTGTGATGTGACTTTTTTACATGCTTTAGTGATGCGCTCTTTTAAATCATTCAGAGAAGTCGACTGTTCTGAATAAACGTTATCTTTTAAGTTACCCCATAAAAAAATCTAAATGAATTAAATCAGGAGATCGTGGAGGCCATTCCAGTGGACCACGGGTACCTAACCAACTTTGTGGAAAATGCTGGTTCAAGTAATCTATTACTACTTTTGCATTATGAGCAGAAGCACCATCTTGCTGTATCCACATTGTTTTCTGAATTTCAAGAGGGATACACTCCATCAATAACGGCAATGTATTTTCTAGAAACTCTAAATAACGTTGCCCACTTAGAGTGCCATCATAAAAATATGGCCCGACCAATTTATTTATTTATTTAATTTATAAAATCATAAATGTTAAAATTGAATAAATTAGTTATAATACATAATACTTTGACCATACATTTTTAATATTACCTGTAGCTTTTAATGTTTGTACAACATTTGTAATCGTGGATCGTGACGGTTGTCTTCTTTCGGGAAATTTTTGTAGGTATAAGCGACATGTTTGAACTGTACTTTTACCACTAGTATAAAACATTTCTATCATGTCAGAATACTCTACATTAGTATAAGTAGTCGGCACATTATACATGTATACATGTATACTAAGAAGTATTTGCTTTTATTTTTTAGAATTTGCTTAAACAAAAATTGTTGACATGTGAGGATAAAAAAGGTGGTGTCAATGATAAAAACAAATCGGTAACAGTTATTTTTACCTAAAAATTTACTTATTAAATAAATGTAGGTATAACAGTCTAAATAAATATATAAAATTCTAAATAAACTTAAATCTAATAATAATTAATAGGATTCACTCCCAAATTCATCTACTTCTGACTTATCTCATTATGTAAAAAAAAGGTAATAATTTATAAAAGGTAATGAACACATTAGTTATCAATAGTTTCATTAGAATATAGACAAATTTCCGTAATACAAATATTTGCAGAATTTGGGTATGTTCACATCTAATAAAAAATATTAACACTTGACATGTCCACAACTCAACATAAATTAATTAAAATTTAATGAACATAAGTAGTAACAAAGTGTAACATAATAAGCTAACACATGAAAAACTTTGGTTCTAATCAATATTTTACCACTTTTTTTATATGTATACATCAATACATAATATGTATGTATATCATTTATAAATGCTCGTGCTACAAGTAAAGTTTAACATTTTTTTATACTTTGTCTAATTTTGAAGGTAAAAATGTTTATTTAATTGAAATAGTTTATTTTTTACAATCATTTTTTTAAATATCAATATTTTT